AATATGTTGAATGTGCATAGTCAATACGATTTTCAGCAGTTGAACATGGCACCATCAAAGATGATGATAACGATGATGATGATGGTGATGTTCCAGTGCAAAAAGAGGAATTATCAACAATATAGTCACCATTTCTGCCATGCCATACAGATTCATGAATAAAACGTGGAGTACTTGTACTTGCATGATAATTTTGATGATTATGGTCATGACAAATACTAATATTAGTAGTAGGAATGATCGGAGCAGAAGTTGGACTATCATCATACCCATCGTTTCCATTTGAATGACAATACATAGAATGATTTACTTCATTCATAAAACTGTAACTATTCAGTTGAATCGGTGATTCCAAGTTTGAGTAACCTTTTTGTATAAAAGGTACACACTGTTGTTGTATTATTGAACAATGATCACGATCTATATTTGATAATGATAATGGTAGCATATTAGTATTAATGTCATCCTCTTCGCCAGTATCATTAGTTTTATTATTATGATTTGTAGTAAAGAAATGATTCTCTATGATCGATTCTAAATAAGTTTGTTGACTCAATGTAAATTTTTGTTGATACCGAATATCGTCAATTTCTTCCATTCTTCTATAATTCAATAACTGATATTCTCTTGTTCAAAAATATAAATTTTTAAAATAATGAATTATATGTAAGAAACAAAGTATTTAAATAAGTAATATTTATAGTAGAGTTTAGCTGGAATTCCCCCCTCTCTCTTTTCTGTTATTGTTTGTTTACCATTCGTCAAATATGGAAAGGAATTTCATTTTCTGAAAATTTCTGCTTATCTTTTATTAAACGTTCGAGAAAGAGAGGTGTACTAAAATCAGCATCATTATCGCATTTTAAAATGATTGGTTCACTCGTGTGTGTTTTTGAATTTTTGCTTTTTAAATGAACAAATGAATTTCAAGCAATTTTTCTTGCCCAACCCCACCTCCGTATTTTAACCACAGTCTACTACATAGATAATAATACTAGTTAAGTGCGTCGATTATTTACGAACCTCGGTTACATTGTAGCTGTTACTTCCACTATCACTGTGTTGCATACTGTAATAATAATAATAATAATAATAATAATAATAATAATAATAATAATAATAATAATAATAATAATGAATTTTGATGAAGAGGATTAATACACATTTATCGAATAATTATGGTTACATAATTTTAACCATGAAATAAAAATAAGAATTGAATCCATCATTATATTCATTTTCTTTTTAGATGGCTGTCACAGGGAGGGGAGAGAGTGAAGTGGAATAAGGATAAAAGAATTCTCACCTTAATTATATATATCATAGTCCATTGTTATTATTGTGATGACACATGCTGTTGTGATCGAAATTGGGAATGAAAGTGAGTATTGAAAAATCTATCAATCAATTGTATGAAAAATTGTGATGACAGCATATCAGCTGATAAACAAAATACAACGAAAACTGTGAATATTCTGATGTCTATTCATTCAATTAAGGTTTTACACCTAGTAACTGAAAAATGTATTGTTTGTGTATGTCTGTGTGTACATTGGTTGACTGACCTTAATTTATATTTCTTCTATATATGAAGAGAGAAAGAAACACTTAACATTTCTATCAAACATGTGAAGTTCACAATAAAAATGCTTACTTTAACTGTTTTCTCAACACTGTTACGCTCTAATTTGACATTATTCAGTGTTTAATATTAAAATTCTTTATTATATGAAATTTATAGTGAAACATTGTTGTCATATAATCTGTATGAAATATCTCTGATACACGGAGTAAGTGTATTAATTATATTGGCAAATATTTTTATATTGTATAAAGTGTGCTTTGAAACCATCTATCCATTGAAATAAGTAACTTTGTATTTATTAATTTCGCCTTGAGCCCTCCCCCTATTGCAATCGTTAATACCAAACTAGGGTTAAGATAAAGAAATTGGATGTAGGGTTTGCGACCCAATATCGTAAAAAAGAGTTCAACTAAAAAATCGCTAACCCGAGAAGTTTACGAACTGGACTTCGATTTACCAATGTGGGAACCTATTTTATAATCACTACAGAAGTAAGATACTTAGGAGTTATTACATGTGTTAGGCGGTTGGAAGTAGTTAAGAGGTAAAACTATCTAAACTAGATTTAGTGCTAGTTGACACTCACCAGCAAGGTATACCTTCTCTCTATGAGATTGGAATTCACATTATTTGGCTTGACGATTTGAGACTTAACAAATTAATTAATTGGAGGGTATAACCGACTTCATATAAGATATCTAATATTGATGTACAAATGACTGATCACTGACTAATAACAGAACCAGTATTTTCCTGGCCCCTTAATAATGCTAAATTTAGATACGCCATGATAATTAGTTTTGACTAACACAAAACAAAGACTAGAAATTTCTTGTCGACTATCCAACCATCTGACATCTCAGCGTAGTGTATTTGTGCCAAGTCACTTGAACTACTGGTAGGGCTTGATCAACTCTAAAGAACTAAACAAACATGACTATGAATTCTACTCAGTGACCAGTCGATTGTATTTATGCTGAGATATTTACACACATGTCTTTTTAAAAATATGACTTTACTCGATTGACTGGTAAACAGATAAATTCAAGGATAGAGTATTTTAAACATAGTTCCGATAGTGTTGGATTTTATGAACACCATATTAGTTTCGTAGAGTGCATATTAATTGATTATTAAGTGATAATAAATATCCTGTTGTTTATCCCATAGTGATAATAGGATTCCATCGATCAAGTTGTATTATGGTCGTCAAGCCTTACTTATTGTATCAAAATGGTGGCAAATTTAGCTAGATGTTAGATGGTTTGAGACAATTGACACGAAGCTTTAGAACTAACTTTTGTTCTAGTTTGGTCTCATCAGTAAGGTATATGAAATATTGAGAGAACTAATTTTTCTCGTGGAATTCGGACTCGAGTCATCCACTAATATAATTAAAGAAATTATTACTGAACCATAGAGTTCTATTTTCTTGAAATATTCCATGGTGCAAAGTTTAGAGTGTTATGAATACATGTATTTATAGTCTTCAGTGAAGAATAAGAACGTTAACAATTTCAAACGCCACCTTCCATTCTATGGGAGATTACAAAATTTACTTATCAAAATACTATCTGCGAAATGTTAACTACAACTAGCTTTTCATTCCATATTCTGTGTTGAACCTACTGTTTTAATATATGTAACATTTTTAACACTTCATTATATCTACTACTTATCTTCATAAATGAGGTATTACATATAAAAGTTCTTTGCTTCAGTCATGTGAAATGTAAGTAAATGTATAATACAAATCACTTAACATATAATAAGGATTTATTGGTTGATCGACTTAAAAGGATGGAAAAATGATGACGAACATAAAATCTCTCAGGTTTTTTGTTCACTGCAAACTTATTTCAGAATTGATAGTTCTTTATTGTTTGATACTATCTTGTTGTACGACAGGATATGCAACTACTTTCCGTTGAGCATAGATATAGAAAACTTGATTTCAAGAATATATTTCAACGACTTTGATTGGTAGAGAAATCTTACTAGAGTTTTAAGGTGATGCTTGTGGGTAGTCTACAGAAAACCTTGGATCTAAGTTGCCAGCATTTGGCAAATTTTGCAAGTAATCTCGAGAAAATTGATGCGTCTTAACGGATTCGATCGGGCATCAGCCAGATAGATGGAATTTGACCAGCACTAAGAAACACTTTATGTACATGACACTGGTTACCACTCAGTGATCAATGATTTGTAAATTACTGGAGTTTGTTTGTTTTTTATAAATCTTTGCTGTAAATTAAACTCATTTTCGGCTGATTGTAAGCTTTTCATCACGATATGAAAACATTTGAAGTACTATTGAAGAATAGAAAATATTGAATAGATATTCTGTTCTATTTTATCAATCTGCAACAGTTTTAACATCTAATTTCATGTGGGATTAAGTCTAGAAATTTCAGGTCTCTCAGTAAACACGAAACTACCCGATCAAAGTGTTTAAATTTCATAGTTATCACTTCCGACTTCAGTTTGTGATGTATTGTCACTGTTATTTAACTTAATCACAGATTATTACTCCTCGAAAAATGATTCACATCACAAACCATATATTCCTATTAAAACTTCAGTTATTATTTAATGCAAAACAATAATAATAAATATTATTTATGTATATACGTTATCAATATAGTGTTGTGGAGGTTGTTGAGTTTAGATTGATATCATGAATGTTAGACCACCATTGAAAACCTGAGATAACTGAACGGCTATTTCATCCTAGTATGGAACTCGTGAGCAGTGACCATCTACGATCCCGCACCAAAGGAACTCGAACTCAGGACCTTCGATCTCACGACCGGACGCTTAACCTTCAAACCAGTGAGCTGAAATCCAGTGGTGTTAATGCCTAACTTCAATCAATCCACAATGTCGCACGACCGTCCACCGTTGTCTTCAATAAATAAATGCCTCACAACAGACATGGTTGAACTCCACGGCTTTATCTTCAAGGCAAAAACAATATGTTTCCAAGTATTTTGTATTCATGTTGTACAAAGTAATGAACTGAATTCATTTAACCATTTAGATGGCTGTCGAAGGAAGGAGAGAGAGTGAAGTGGAATAAGGAAAAAGGAATTCTCACCTTTATATATATCATGGTCCATTGTTTGGTCCATCATTTGTATATCAATCTTAAATATCTTATATGAGGTCGGTTATACCCTCCAATTAATTAATTTGTTAAGTCTCAAATCGTCAAGCCAAATAATGTGAATTCCAATCTCATAGAGAGAAGGTATACCTTGCTGGTGAGTGTCAACTAGCACTAAATCTAGTTTAGATAGTTTTACCTCTTAACTACTTCCAACCACCTAACACATGTAACAACTCCTACATATATGTATATAGAAAGAAATCAACTTTCAATTAGAATTCAATTTTATTTATAAAAACCAGCTGATCAATTATGTAATTTCATTGGGACACTAAAAACTTCACTGTTATACCAATTTAACTTACATTTATTAGAAGTAACATTTGGTATTTTCTATAAATGATAGAATAGTATATCAGTAAATAGTTGCTTACTTGTTTAGTTTTTTCATTAACATTGTACAGATAACGTAAATTTCTCTTCATTTTAGAAAAACTGAATAAATTATGATGAAAAGTAACAAAGTAGAAACTTTCTTTAGGGTTTTCTCTTGAAATTATTCTTAGACATTTATAAACATTTCTAATATCAACTAAAAGAATCATTCTGTGAAAAACCAAAAAAAGTCTTTCATTATTACAGTTGATGAACATCACCATTACAAGTTCAATGTCTTCAGTTATTAATTCATTTCATTTTATTATTTGGATGATATAAATTATTTAATTTATCCAAGATTTCTTATCAATAACTGATTTAGATAATTTCCACTTGACTGGAAATTTTGGTTCACATATGTACCGTTTAAGTTTGTATTTGTTGTTTTTTTCTCTCCTTTATAGAATTACTGAATAAAATAAGAATTATAATGTATTTAGTAGTAATTAATGCAAAAACATTCATTTTAATTTGTATATTATATGGATGTCACCTGCTGACATGAATGAAAGAATCCGGCTCAGTATTTGCTTTTTTTTCTTTTTTGGTAACTGACATTTATCACATATTAAACGGTTCCTTATTTAAATATATATCACTGTAAATTGTACTATCTAGCAAAAATCAACCAAAGTTGTAATTGTAATGGTAATGGCTGAGGCAGAAATATCAATCAGTTTTATGACTTATCAACTAATGAAGTGTGAAATAGAATGATTAAACGAGTGTCCCTTTAAAAATTGCATTCCTTCTCTCTCTCTCTCTCTCTATGTCTATAACAGATACTTTTTATTTCTTTACAACTCTCTAATAATTACACATTGAATAATGATGTTTTTCCAAATATAATCGTGTAAATGACATGTGCAATCGACTAAACTCGTCAATAACATCCTATCATAAATAAAATGCATGACGAATTTATTATTATTAGAAATGTTTATCATCTATATGAACACGAAATTAGTAGTTCGGTAGCTTTAAGAATTACACATCATAAATTGTTTACCTATAAAACTAGATTACGGAAATGGAAAAACTGATTTAGGTCTGCACAACTGAAGACCAGAATCTTCTATATTACTTACTTACTTACGCCTGTTACTCCCAATGGAGCATAGGCCGCTGACCAGCATTCTGCAACCCACTCTGTCCTGGGCCTTCTTTTCTAGTTCCATCCAATTCTTGTTCATTTTTCTCATGTCTATTTCCATTTCTCGGCGTAATGTGTTCTTTGGTCTTCCTCCTTTCCTTTGGCCTTGAGGATTCCATGTGAGGGCTTGTCTTGTGACGCAGTTGGGTGCTTTCCTCAATGTGTGTCCTATCCACTTCCAGCGCTTCTTCCTGATTTCTTCCTCCGCTGGGATCTGGTTTGTTCTCTCCCACAGTACGTTGTTGCTAATAGTGTCCGGCCAACGGATCTGAAGTATTTTGCGTAGACAACTGTTAATAAACACCTGTATTTTCTGGATGATGGCTTTCGTAGTTCTCCAGGTTTCTGCCCCATACAGTAGAACTGTCTTGACATTTGTATTGAAAATCCTGACCTTGGTGTTGGTTGACAGTTGCTTTGAATTCCAGATGTTCCTCAGTTGTAAATATGCTGCTCTTGCTTTGCCGATCCGCGCCTTCACATCTGCATCAGATCCACCATGTTCATCAATGATGCTGCCCAAATACGTAAAGGTTTTTACATCTTCCAAATCTTCTCCGTCAATTGTGATTGGATTGGTGCATTCTGTGTTGTATCGGAGAATCCTGCTTTTCCCTTTGTGTATATTGAGACCTACTGCTGCTGCCACACTGGTCGTCTTCTCCTGCATCTGTTGTTGCGTTTGGGATAGAAGGGCCAGATCATCTGCGAAGTCCAGATCGTCCAACTGCATCCTAGATGTCCATTGTATCCCGTGCTTCCCTTCAGATGTTGACGTCTTCATGATCCAGTCGGTCACCAGGAGAAAGAGAAAGGGTGAGAGTAAGCAACCTTGCCTGACACCGGTCTTTACCTCGAACGAGTTTGTCAACTGTCCTCCATGCACAATTTTGCAGTGTAATCCATCATATGAGTTCCGTATGATATTGACTATCTTCTGAGGCATGCCGTAGTGTCGAAGAAGTTTCCATAGTGTTGTTCTGTCCACGCTATCAAATGCTTTTTCGTAGTCAATGAAGTTGATGTAGAGTGATGAATTCCATTCAATTGATTGTTCCACAATGATCCGTAGAGTTGCGATTTGGTCTGTACACGATCTATCCTTACGAAATCCTGCCTGTTGGTCACGAAGTTGCGCGTCTACGCAGTCCTTCATCCTGTTTAACAATACCTTGAATTTGTTGAGTTTGTTAGTATCCTGAAGAAAGGCCGTATTGAACTTTTGTGACATTGTCCGCCCCGTTGTCCAGTGCTTCTTGAGTTTCAACTTCATCTTGGCGACCAGCAAGTGATGATCTGATGCTATATAAGCTCCTCTCTTGGTTCTCATGTCCTCTATAGTCCTCCTGAGCGTTTTGTTGATGCAAATATGGTCGATTTGGTTTTGTGTATAGTGAGCCGGTGAAGTCCATGTGGTTTTGTGTATGCGTTTATGTGGGAATATGGTGCCGCCTATGACCAGCTTATTGAAGGCACATAGATTTGCAAATCTCTCACCATTTTCGTTTCTTTCTCCCAGTCCGTGTCGTCCCATGATGTCTTCATATCGAGTTTTGTCCGTTCCAACCTTGGCGTTGAAATCTCCCATCAGAATAGTCAGGTCCTTTTTTGGGCACTTCTCGACGATTGACTGCAGCCTATTGTAGAATTGATCTTTAGCGTCTTCATTGTAGTCGTTGGTAGGCGCATAGCATTGGATGATGTTCATTGAAATACCCTCTTTCTTTGTTTTGAACGAGGCTTTGATGATCCTTGGTCCATGAGATTCCCATCCTATAAGCGCATTTTGCGCTTGTTTGGACAGCATCAATGCAACTCCTTGTGTATGTGGTGCATTTTCATCTTCATGGCCGGAGTATAACAGGAGCTCTCCTTTAGTTAGTCGTTGTTGTCCAACTTGCGTCCAATGTGTTTCACTGATCCCAAGTACCTCTAGGTTGTATCTTCTCATTTCTGCAGCAATTTGGAAGGCTCTCCCGGTGTCCCACATTGTACGAACATTCCATGTACCTAAATAAATGGTCGCTCTGGTTGTCAGAAGGGGCATCGGCCTCGTAACTTCCGAAGGAATTCGGCTTTCATCATGAGGCGTCATAATTCTTCTAAATGAAGACCTTCTGACTCCCAGGGCAGAGTTTAAAAGGTTTGAATAATTTTTTCTGGTTAGCGTTTTTTTAGCGAGTTAGTTTTCTACGGGATGGGGACGCTAACCCCATGCCCAACCCTCCTCCTTTATCCGGGCTTGGGACCGGCAGTAGCCCCCGGAGGGACTCCAGGCGGAGTTAGAATTTTCTATATACCAAAAATAAATCAAAACTATGTATGAATATAATGAGTTTTACATGTTTGTTTGGATACTGATCAATATTCAAACTGAATTGTGTAAAGCTGTGACAAGTAAAAAAATTACTGAATATCCATTTTTTTAACCGGAAACTAACTAAAGCTGGAGTTTATCAAACAAGCTTTTAATACGGTGGTTACAATTAAAGAAGAATTTCATCTGAATAGGTGTAGTTTTCTTCTTCAATGACATTAGCCATATCCAAGTTGAACTTGTCTATACACATACTCAAATGACACAATGCGAAATGTATGTTGCACAATTTCTGTTAGTTTACTTTTGAAATTATACCTAAACTTATTCAAGGTTATACATGCATTCTTAAATGATCCTCTGTACTGAACTATTCACACGAGATGCAGTGATTATCCGAATGTCTTTGGGTTCTGTAACGTGTATAGTTTTATGAACGTGTGCTGTTAAATAGGCAAAACAAAAGTAAGCAGGTGTTCAGTGTTTCATAAAATTTATTGACTGTCAGCGTAAAATCCAAATAAGAAAACCTTTTAAATACAGTGCTTCGAAATTTGTTTAGGTTATACTAACCATATTTATAGTTGTCAGTAGTACAGTATTCAGATTCTATCACATCACACAATTTATCATTCCTTTAAATTATTTTGTTATTTGAAAAAAGATTTTGAATAAGCACATGTTATATAAATACGGGCTTATAATTTGTAATATTTGTCAAGAACATTTTATTTTAGAACAGATCTTTCGGAATAGTGCGTTGAACAAAGATCGGTAATATTTTTCTCACTGAGGAACATAAATGATTGGAACCAGTTTCATCTACAGAAATTATTAGTCTCAGCAAAACTTTTAAACCACCAGTGAAAACCAGGGATTACCAGACAGTTCATTTGGAATAGTACAGGATTTCTCAGTAGCGTGCACCTAATACCTCACCAAATGCTATCGCAAGTACCGAAGATCATAGGTTTGATCCTTGGTAAATTATGGGTGTTTATTGTTGAAGAGTCCCATATTTTGGTGAAACAGTTATTCAGTGCTTTCAGGTTTTCAGTGGTACCGTTATTGATTTCAGTCTATAGAAAATGCATTCTACAATTTAAACAAGATCACGGGTTGATTGCAGTTTAACACTAGCAATAGAAGTCTAAAGATTAAACGTTTGTTCACGAGATCGAAGGTTTTGGCTTTGATCCATTGCACAAAGTCGTAGATGTTCAATTCCAAGACGTCCCATACTAAAACCAAACAGTCGTCCAGTGTTTCCAGTTTTTTAATAGTGATCTAACTAAGATCGATTCATAATTTTAACTGTGAAAAAATTAAACGAATCTCTACAAAATCCCTTCAACTTTAAAATAACTTCACTTTAACACATACATTATCCTAATTACAATTACATTAAATTTCATTTGTAATAATCTAAAGAGAAAAAGATGTAAGATAATAGGTACACGTGTTGTAAAGGATTTCTAAAACTAAAATTAACGAATTTGTCGACAAAACGGTTCATCATCTTTTCTGATCATAAATGTACTACTATACACATAACATGATGGAATATCCAATTACATTTTGGTGGAGTTCTGTTCTCTGTTCTCTCTCCACCAAAATCATCCACCTGAGCTACAAATCTTCTCCACCATCCAATTACACTTTAATTAATTTTTTTATTATTTTTAAGATACATGTAA